TTTCGCTATAGGGCGCGTGCGCTCGCCAGACAGACAGAGAGAGACATAGAGACAGAAAGCGAGAAATCACCCCCCAGGGGGGATGGTCACGCCGCAATCCCTTCTCCTCCATTCTCCTCTCGGGATCTTGGGCACGCACGCACACGCGTCCGGCGTGAGTTTTAAGCCACCGGGTCCGGGACACGAACCGCGGTCGACTACGTGGGAATCCAGCGACATAGCCATTACGCCAACTGCTGGTTCCCTCAAAGGTCTATTTTAATGTAAGCCCTCGTATTGCAATTAACTTTAAACCTCACAGCAAGCTGCTTTCAGGAGGTACCTCCTTTCCCAAAGTAGAGGTAGTTTTTTCCAAGCTTAGCACTCAAGGCCTGGGGATGTGTCAGAAACTCCAACAGGTTGTGGGAGGTGAAATGATGCTCAGCAAACAAGGGATGGAGACATGCCCCAGCCCAGCCCTCACCCTACAAACCGCCACGAGGCAGGGCCCTCAGCAGCTACCGAGGACACCTTTAGACACAAGCAACTTGCCACTTAGATACTTTTTAATTCTAGACCTGCAAGCAGCTTCCATCCTTCTGGTATAAAATATCAGAAACTATAAAAATGCAACATAATTCTGAAAAATGCACACATACTTTCTTTACAAATATCCCATCTCTGTGCATACCCCCTCATTACTGAAAAATGACCAGAACTGGCCAATTCTGAATCATATCAAATACGGCCAATGCAATCAAATCACCTCTAACACTGAGTCGGACTAGAACAATGGCAAGAGATCACTGTGATTCTTCAAAGTGGGAATTTCCAATGTGCACCCCACACATATGCTGGCATCGACTGCCAGAGCGCCCAAAGTCCACACGCACACCAAAACAGATCTTTGTCAATCTCCTCCCAGCCATGTCTTGTCATTCCAGGCTGACTACTGCTCCAGCCAGGTGGAGCTCAAATTCTGCTGCAAATGATAATCACCCCTGGGGAATCTCTGAATTAATGCTCTGCACCTGGGTTGCAGCCCTGTCCGACTACAACGAAATTTCTGCAGGAGGTATCAGTATTTTTCAAAAGTCCGGCAGCCAGATCTTAGACTCCGCACTCTGGCAAAATCAAAGCTCACAACCCCACCTTTCCAGCCATGCTCAACATACATCTGTAGCAATTAACACACAGCCCAGGCGGCTCCTACCTATGTAGAGCGAGGAGTCCTTCCTCCGCACGTGGTCGTCGATGTAGGAGACCCCCAGGGGCTGCACGGGGGTAGCACCGATGCCCAGGAGCACCTGGGCCCCAATGAGCAGCAAGTACATCATGTTGGTGGCTGTCCGGTTGCGGCAGATGAGGTCAGGGTCAGGCCCCTCATCACCTCCGGAGCCATTGGCGGCACAGACGTCGCGGCCCTCGGCGCCCCAGCGGATTTCGCCAGCCTCGTACTTGTACTGGTGGGTCAGGAACTCGGGCAGCGCCGACAGCAGCGCGCCCAGGGCCATGACAATGCCACCACAGCCGATCAGGCGGGGCCGGTGCCCGCGCGCCCCGAAGTAGCTCACGAAGAGGATCAGCGCGAGGTTCCCGATCTCGAAGCTGCTGGCGATCACACCCACGTCGGCGCTCTGCAAGTTGAATCTGCGCTCCAGAGTGGTCAGGACGCTCACCTAGAAGGGCGAAAGGAAATCTCACAGCCAATCCAAAGAAAGACGGTGGGGGTGGGGAGGGGACCGCCACAGGAACCTCGGGAACCTCGCCCCTGCCCAGACCTCACACCTGGCATTAGCACCAGCCCAGGTAGCTGTGCAAATTGGTTTATAATATTTTTCATTTTATTTTTATTTAATTTTATTGTCATTATTTTATTTTTAAAATCGACAAGAGAGTGAGTGAGAGAGAAAGAGAGAAAGAGAAAAGTGAGAAAGCAAGTTGCCAGGTCCAGGACTCAAACTACAGCCAGACTTGTGGGTGTCCAGCCGCTGTAACCAGCATGCCACCTGCTGGGCCCTGTGCAAATTGGTTTATAATATTTTTCATTTTATTTTTATTTAATTTTATTGTCATTATTTTATTTTTAAAATCGACAAGAGAGTGAGTGAGAGAGAAAGAGAGAAAGAGAAAAGTGAGAAAGCAAGTTGCCAGGTCCAGGACTCAAACTACAGCCAGACTTGTGGGTGTCCAGCCGCTGTAACCAGCATGCCACCTGCTGGGCCCTGTGCAAATTGGTTTATAATATTTTTCATTTTATTTTTATTTAATTTTATTGTCATTATTTTATTTTTAAAATCGACAAGAGAGTGAGTGAGAGAGAAAGAGAGAAAGAGAAAAGTGAGAAAGCAAGTTGCCAGGTCCAGGACTCAAACTACAGCCAGACTTGTGGGTGTCCAGCCGCTGTAACCAGCATGCCACCTGCTGGGCCCTGTGCAAATTGGTTTAAATCTGAAGAATCAGAAAAACGTTTAGCAGTGTTATAACCCTGGTTTGACAAGTGAAGGAGTTACCCAGCAGCACGGACATTTTTCTTGTTACCAATGTGCATCCTACAGAATCTGTATCTATAGAGAATCTCTTCAGAATCTCTATCTCCCCCACCCACAGGCCTCCACCACTGAGAGCCCCTGAGCCCTATACATCCTTAAGTCCACAGCTGGCACGCACTCCCAAATATATATGCTATGTATAAAGTCCACGGGGAGGGCCGTCTAGCCAAGGGCTCCTTACATAAAGGTACCTTCCTAAAGAATAACAGCGATCTAACAAAAACCTCAGAGGCAAAATGGCGAAGCTCAAAGGATAATCATTAGCTCTTTGCTTCCTTCTAGAAACGTCCACACCACACAGGTTTCTATCAGGTAAATACATCCCTGATTGTTCCAGAAATACAGCTTTGCCAAGGCCCCTGGCACCAAATATTTTGGTGGTGTGCCCCACCTCTGTATTCCCATCTGTCACATATTTAACACATTTTACTAAACATCTGCTTGTGTCCTAGATACACAAAAATATAGAAAAATATGAAAGAGGACTGGTATCGTGGTAAGTGGTAACCCAACACTCAAGTGAAGCTGGACCCGTATGGAAAATCCAGGTTCAGTTCTAAGGTCAACTTGTACAATGCCATGATCCCAGCTGGCTGGAAGGCTGAGGTGGGGGAGTGGAAATCATAGCGTTAGACCTTGCTCAAAATGCTTCTCTCTTTCTTTCCTCCCACCGCTTTCATGAAAGAGAGAAATAAACTGAGGGGGACAAAAAAAAAAAAAGGAAAATGAAGTAGAGATGACACCTGGCCTCCAGATGCCAGCTTGCAGGAAAGTAAGTAGACACACCCCAACCGTAAGACAATGTGACCGGGGTGGCATTCATGATGGACACTGGCATCCCCCTAGGGGAGCTGAGAGGAAATGCATTACTGCAGGGCTTCCTGAGGGGGACAGGACGGAAGATGGGCTGCCTCCCTCTCCTGCTGTTCACAGGGTATTACGTGATCCATACCACAGGGCCTGCCATGGGAGATCTGACAGCTGTCCAAGGCCCTGGCTGGGCAGGAAAGAGCACTTCAGGCAAAAGGGACCAGCATGAACAAATGTTGGAGGAGTGACATAAAGATGGAATCAAACCCAGCTAGCTGGACAGGTGGGTTGGGGAGAGATTATCAAAAGCCACAGATGCCATCATGGTGAGTTTAGACAACCCCATGCAGTGTGGCACAAAGAATGCATACCACGGAGTGAGGAAAACCAGGTTTGAATCCCTGCTACGATTTCTTCAATCAGCTCTGTGACCTTGGTCAAGTTACTAAACCTCTCCTAGCCTTGATTCTGTGTGGTAGAAATCCTAGCATCTCCGTCCATCACATGAGTGAAGCAGAAAGGTGTAAATCTAAGACTCCGGGGTCAGAAAGCCTGGGTCTATCCCGATTCAGGGTGACCTTGGCCATGGTATTCTGTTTTAGCCTCCCCACCTACAAGTAGGGGGTCAGATTGCTACCACACAGAGCTGGTGCCGGGAATAAATGACATACACGTGTAAACCCTAGAAAAGGAATAGCTAGAATACTATCACCATCATCATTGATCTGTGGGCACCAAGGAACATCAAAGGTTTCAAAGAGCGTAAGAGTCACACCAGGTGTGGTGAGTGGATGACGGAGTAATAGAGGAACGAAAGCCTGCAGAAAAGACAGCTGGGCTGCTACTGGGATAGGGAGGGGAAGAGGCCCAAGTCAATATGGGGCAAAGGAAATGAGCAGGGAAAACGGGAGAGGCATTTTAGGGCCAGTTACATTTCAAGGAGACTAGGCTGAGTGTGCTGACCAACTGTATGTGTCTGCTACGAAAGGACAAGGACAGTCATGTGAATTTAGCCTTCGTCCAAATGTATATATATGTCCATGGCTGTGAAAGCCGTGCACCCGACCTCTCTACATATCCACACATGTCGTCAGTGCACACACACAAACGGACACCTGGGATGATTTGCCTGCCTCTCTTCTGCATATCGTTACCGTCAAGAGAACGGTGCAGGGGCCAGTGGTGGTGCCGCACTTGCCTGTCTGGACCACATGGGAGGGTCCCTGGGTCTCTTTGTGCATGCACACACCCATGATCTGGGCCCAATGAAAATGGGGCTGGGTTGCAGTGTGGGGACCCTTTTGGGTGTTCCTGTCTGTCTGTCTCTCATGGATAAGTAATGGGACGGGACGGTTGGGGGGGGGATACAATAGGGCCAGCAGGTGGCATGGTGGTTAAAGCACTGGATCCCACATGATGGTTCAAAACTTGAAGAAAACACTGGATATGTGTGCATGCATGCCCCAAATCCCAAAAGGAGCCTGGAGGATCAGGAATTGTGGTGTGGACATTCCCCCCTGGGGAGGGGGGATAATCTCTCACTTTCCTTTCTCTACATCTATCTACAGTGAGCTCACACACCCTACAGCAAAAATCTTTTTTTTTTCTTTAAGTGCAGGATAGCATGTGTTCATCTTTGACTCCTATCAACCACACACACTTAACCAGATTCCTTGAGCCCTTCTCAACCCTACCTACAGATCGGAAACATTTGAGAGCACCAGAAATTTCAGGTACTTGACCCCATCCTGGAGTTTTGGATTCAGTGGGTTCTGGGGAACAGTCTGGGCCCCAGGTGATGTTACGGAGGCCAAGCACATGGCCAACACAGTATTACTGGGAACCCTCTTGGCAAGCTCCCCAGAGCAGTGTGAGCTTCCTCTGTGCACAGGGTTTGGATTCCTGTGTGCTCCGTGCTACTCAAGTCAAAGCCAGCTCACAGCTCGCTCGGTCCTACTGATGTGGTTGGGTTCTAACTTTTCAAATGCCAAGTGCTGTACTTGCATCTGCTGAGAAAAGAAGTATCGTTAGTCTTGGACTCTTTCAAGTGGCTTTCTAATTACTCTCAAACAAGTTCTATCTGAAAGGCCTGGGCAAGTAAAAAACAATTTACTTATTCACTCATTTCCTTTTCTCTTTATTATTATTTTTTTAATTGCTAGACAGCACATATCCTGCCAAAGAAAGACCCAGAGGGAGAAAGTACCCCTCGACAGGGTGTAGTCATGCCGCAATCGCTTCTTGTCCATTTCGCCATCCTGTCGAGATTTGGGGCATACACACACGCGTGCACGCAATGTGTTTTTCAAGCCACCAGGGCCAGGATTGGAACCACAGTTAGCTACGTGGAATCCAGCTCACTTAACCTCTAGGTCATAGGAGCAGCCTTCACTCATTTCCTTTGTAACACAAATAAACGTGATGACTAAACACGATGAAAAAGGTTAGTGTGGAGGCAAACGGGCAGGCAGCCCAAAGACCTGGCAGGTGCTGAGTCTCCACTCAGGCCTTTATGCCAGGTCTTGAAAGGTGCCCCAAAGAAGCCAAACGCAGAAAATAGCAGGGACTCGCCTGCACAGGGTCGCCTGTGTATGACAACATGACCTCAAACAGCCCAGAGACCTCCACCAAGGGGCAGGAGGGGAACAAAGGAGGCAGCAGGGTCAGAACGGAAACCGTCTTTCATTTCTGCCAGGAGAACTTAATGACCCCCATTCTAGAAAGCAAATCTGAAACGTGACGACCACTCCTTGTCAGCAGGTGTGCCCCGTCATAAAATATCATGCAGGTGTGCACATTTACGGTGACAGATAAGAGTGGTGGGGACAGAGACAGCTGTGGGCATAACAAAAAAATAATCAGCTCTTCTAGTGACAGAGAATGCCTGCACCTGCAGCTCTGGTTCTGGCTCGAACCTGCTCTTTGGAGAGCCGCCCACAGAGGTGACAGGAAGCAGCAGGGTCTGTCTGTCCCCGCTTGACCTATGGCCTCTTGTTGGCCTCGGCCATGCCTGTCTGGATTAACAGTTAGGTGACACCAACATGCTGAAATGGGGCTTTGCCGATCAATTAGATCAGAGGCTAATGTCTTCACTCACTTAAAACACAATTTTGAGAAGATGGACTTATTATGTATTCATGAGGCCGTAAAACCCACTTGTGGCTTTTATGTGGCAGTGAACCGTCCAGCCACGAGGAAGATGCGCACTAAAAGAGAATGGCGGTCTTTACTTAATGGCTAACGGGACTAATGGAAAACGTCTTGATAATTAGAGACCAACTCCAGGAGGAAAAGAGAAGAGGAAGTGCCTTCCCCTGGGCCAAGTGGACACAAGGTTATTACTGAAAGAAAGTAGTATTTATCTAGGGCTCTACTACTGTGATTCAAAAGAAAATCGGCTTGCATTTCAGAAGCTCCTGGAGTGCTTATTAAAAATGTACATCCAATTTACTTATTCACTCATTTCCTTTTCTCTTTATTATTATTTTTTTAATTGCTAGACAGCACATATCCTGCCAAAGAAAGACCCAGAGGGAGAAAGTACCCCTCGACAGGGTATAGTCATGCCGCAATCGCTTCTTGTCCATTTCGCCATCCTGTCGAGATTTGGGGCATACACACACGCGTGCACGCAATGTGTTTTTCAAGCCACCAGGGCCAGGATTGGAACCACAGTTAGCTACGTGGAATCCAGCTCACTTAACCTCTAGGTCATAGGAGCAGCCTTCACTCATTTCCTTTGTAACACAAATAAACGTGATGACTAAACACGATGAAAAAGGTTAGTGTGGAGGCAAACGGGCAGGCAGCCCAAAGACCTGGCAGGTGCTGAGTCTCCACTCAGGCCTTTATGCCAGGTCTTGAAAGGTGCCCCAAAGAAGCCAAACGCAGAAAATAGCAGGGACTCGCCTGCACAGGGTCGCCTGTGTATGACAACATGACCTCAAACAGCCCAGAGACCTCCACCAAGGGGCAGGAGGGGAACAAAGGAGGCAGCAGGGTCAGAACGGAAACCATCTTTCATTTCTGCCAGGAGAACTTAATGACCCCCATTCTAGAAAGCAAATCTGAAACGTGACGACCACTCCTTGTCAGCAGGTGTGCCCCGTCATAAAATATCATGCAGGTGTGCACATTTACGGTGACAGATAAGAGTGGTGGGGACAGAGACAGCTGTGGGCATAACAAAAAAATAATCAGCTCTTCTAGTGACAGAGAATGCCTGCACCTGCAGCTCTGGTTCTGGCTCGAACCTGCTCTTTGGAGAGCCGCCCACAGAGGTGACAGGAAGCAGCAGGGTCTGTCTGTCCCCGCTTGACCTATGGCCTCTTGTTGGCCTCGGCCATGCCTGTCTGGATTAACAGTTAGGTGACACCAACATGCTGAAATGGGGCTTTGCCGATCAATTAGATCAGAGGCTAATGTCTTCACTCACTTAAAACACAATTTTGAGAAGATGGACTTATTATGTATTCATGAGGCCGTAAAACCCACTTGTGGCTTTTATGTGGCAGTGAACCGTCCAGCCACGAGGAAGATGCGCACTAAAAGAGAATGGCGGTCTTTACTTAATGGCTAACGGGACTAATGGAAAACGTCTTGATAATTAGAGACCAACTCCAGGAGGAAAAGAGAAGAGGAAGTGCCTTCCCCTGGGCCAAGTGGACACAAGGTTATTACTGAAAGAAAGTAGTATTTATCTAGGGCTCTACTACTGTGATTCAAAAGAAAATCGGCTTGCATTTCAGAAGCTCCTGGAGTGCTTATTAAAAATGTACATCTCAAACCCTAAATGAGGCTCAGGAGTCTGCGGTTTGATAAAAACCCCCAGAGTCTCTGTGCCCAGTGGCCACCCAGGCATGAAGTGCGTACTATCCCCAAGGGAGCCTGGTTCTTTCAACCTGGACTGGCAGCAAAATCACCCCTGGAAGACATCACACTGGGCTCCAACCCCTGCATTCTAGTAGATTCTGCAGGTGTGTGGCAGGCGCTGAGAATCTGCATTTCTAAGAAGCTCTCAAGTGAGGCTGAAACTGCTGATCAGAGACCTCACCTGGAGAACGTTTGATCTATTGGACTTTCTCTCAGCAAGCCTACCCCCTGGAAAAAACTGAACAATTTTCTTTCTAAAGTGAGATACAAACTGAAATACCTCCCTCTCATTTCCAGTTCAATAAGACACTCTCTTCTCGTGTGGGCTGTGGCGGGTGGCATTTGGAGAGACTCACTCTTAGAGTGCATGAGTCAGGCTCATGACGCCTCAGCCCAAAAGGGAGAACTTCAGAGCAGGTTGTTGTAAATGCCATTAAGACAGGCGGTATCAGCGACCACGGCCAGGTACCCAGGAGCCCTTCCTCACCTACAGAAGGAGTCGACCAGAGGCAAGGGGAGCAGACAAGCACTTCACAAGAATCCCAGTTCTGGGAACCAGCAGTTAGCGTAATGGCTATGTCGCTGGACTCCCACGTAGTCGACCGCGGTTCGTGTCCCGGACCCAGTGGCTTAAAACTCACGCTGGGTGCGTGTGTGCGTGCCCAAGATCCCGAGAGGAGAATGGAGGAGAAGGGATTGCGGCGTGACCATCCCCTCTGGGGGGTGATTTCTCGCTTTCTGTCTCTATGTCTCTGTCTGTCTGGCGAGCGCACACGCCCTACAGTGAAAATCTCTCCAAAAAAAAGAATCCCAGTTCTATGTGGCAGCAGAAACTCAGGACTGTCCTCAGGTGTTCTCTCAGAGGCTCTTGCTTACTCTGACCTGGGAGTGGCCAGTGGACCTGGACAGAGTCACCTTGGGAGCTTCAGAAAAACACCACCGCCTGCCCACCCGCCATCCGCCATCCTCTACCACCAAGACTCTGGCATCAACCGTAAGAGGTGGCCTCGGGCATCTGCATTTTCAGAGCTCCCCAGGTGATGTTTATATGTGGGCAGGTGGAGCTGTGCACACACAGGTGCACCTGTGTGCGTGCTAATGGAGTGTGTGTGCCCTGATGTTACAACAGTACAGTCTGGTATACGGGTGTAGCTTTGAAGCAGAGGAGGCCTGAGTTCCCACCAGGTCAAATTCTCTGAGCCTGTTTCCACACCCGTGCAGAGGGGATCCCAATACTTGCTTCTGTGACCATGAATGAGGTCACGTAGCGGAGCAGCCGGCACAGTGGGTGTGCGTTAAAATGCTAGCCACATCATTGGCGTGTGTGCTGTGCTAGACTTTCCACAGCTTCGATTGCCATCCCACACACCTGAGTGCCTGC